GGTGGTGACATTTGTACTAGTGAAGTAAAGAAGATAGAGTGCCCTACCCTGGTGGTGCATGGGCAGAAAGACCCCCTGGTTCCACAGTTTCACCCTGAGTATTTACATGCCAACATCTGTGGTTCAAAGCTTCATATTATGCCAGAGGGGAAACACAATCTTCACCTTCGTTATGCAGACGAATTCAACTTGCTTGTCAGGGCATTTTTGACCCTTAAAGAGGTGAAACAGTTTTGACTAGAGAATAACGGGGCTCACAAAAAGTTCCGTCCGGTCATCCGGAACGTCATACTTTTCATACTTACTTGCCCCACGGGGACGTCGTCTGCCAACGTAATAGCAAAAAGAGAAACATGTCTGAAGGGCAAGGTGGAATTCAAGTTTTTTTCGAGCCCTGGAATAAATCTAAAACAAGAGGAACTGAATCTGGAAATCAAAAAATAGTCCGGCCAGACGTCCATTATTTGCTGGCCCTCTATAGGAACCCCAAGGCCAGCTGCAACGACACTAAATCTAGTTTGAAACATGTCGAGGTAACTTTAACAAAAATAAAAGTTATTTCCCAAAGGAGAAACATTTTCTTGTTTTTTACCCCCAGTTGCTAACCCAGCATTGAATTTCGCGCGGTGGCCGTTATACTCCGGATCGCGCTGTCCGGGCTCGAGCCCTGGCCGGGAGACATTTCGCTGTGTTCTTGGGAAAGACACTTTGCTCTCACAGTGTCTCTCTCCACCCAGGTGTATAAATGGATACCAGCGAATTTAATGTTGGGGGGTAACCTTGCAATGGGCTAGCATCCCATCTAGGGGGGTGTAAAAATACTCCCAGTCGCTTCACGCTACAGGGAACGGGATAAGCTCCGGCTTGATGGGCCACTTGGCTCGTATGTAGACTTAACCTACCTTAATGAATTTCGCATCTTCTTCGTACGGGAAACTATCTTGATGCCGGTCCAACTGTAAACGGAGTAGCTATTTGCCTGTGTACCTTTCTTTTCTACAACTGGCACGCAGTTGTAGACGGGTTGTAATGTTATCGTTGCCTTTTTGTAAAGCATTATTAGCCCAACAAACTCATAGCCCGCAGCACTTTACCTTCCAGTCCTGCAGCAAAAAGTACTGAGCTAAGGAGTATTTGCTACCCCCTTCCCCTTCTCCCGTCACAGGATGGGCTGCTTGTCCACCACAGGTTCCTCTCCATCATTCGGACTAGCCTGTTCCAGGCTTTCAGTCAGCAGCGGAGCAGCCCCGGAGGGGATGGAGCAACGTGGAAACGGCTGAGACAGGCTACATTCGGTCAGGTTGCTCCAACAATTTACCTGTTTCTTGTTATACTCCTAGTCGGAGGAAAGCTCTACAGCGACATATATTCACCTCTTTATTATACTTTACATCGTCCAAAGAAGCATATAAGACAATAAAATTAATCTACCACGATCGGTGGCTAATGTCTGCCTTTTATCTGATGCCTGATGTCTGCCCTTTATCGCTAGCCTACAAAACAGTGGTTTAGCGAGGTACAGCGCGAAGGGACTACGTGTCCGTACAAACGGAAAACTGACGAGAAATAACGCTCAGAAATATCACTTAACCAAAACTATATCTCAGCTAGAGCGATATACCATAACGGCTCTGTTCTTTATAAGAGGTTTTTTCAATGTAAATTTAAACGATAGAAAAGGATTGTTACGACGGTGAAGAATCTGTCGATTTACACTCTTTATTTCAATCCATTTAGAAATCAATGCAAGTGTAAACCTGATCCGCTTGTAGCATTAGGCTAATCTAGGCGAATCAGTTGTCAGCTTACTTGTACCAGGACAGTAAAAGATAAAAGTAAAATGCTAAATTGAAGTTCAATCAGTCTGAAACTCTGTAAACTGTATGCGATTTTTATACGGCATTACCGCCTTAATTTACATTGGTGGGTAGCTGGGTAGCCCATTAAGCTGACCTAGGATTAGTGATAATTTGATTGCAGTTTTGAAACTTTTCGGTGACGTTTTCTGTTTATTGCGGAGCCCCATACTCACAGATTTTACAAAAACTGCAGGAATTCTCGCGCGCTCATTGGCTAATTTTCGTTGTCAATAAGCGATAAACACACATTAAAGTTTATACCTTAGCGCCATAGTACCATATAGTGCCTTAGCGGCAGGCAGCCCCCATAACCATCCCAATAGTGCACTCTGCACTAAAAAGGACGGTGGTGCCCGTCGGAGGATCGCCTAAGAGGTACCAAGACCCTGTTTGTGGGCGTGGCTTGAAATTTTTTTCACCCCTAAGAAGTACTAATTGCATGCAATTCTAAAACAACACATCAACTGACACTGATGTTTTTCGGCTTAATACCCTAAATTATTTAAGCTCCTGCTGTGGACCTTTTGAGGCTGAACACGCTAAAAGGTACCAAATCCCCTTTTATAAGCTCTAAAACTGGTACGACGAGCATCTCCGTCCCTTTTATATTGGAGTCTCCCCCCCCCCCCCGGCCCCGGGTAAGAACCTTGTGGTTTAAGAACCTGCTGGCAGAAATTTGCATTTCAAAACCCAAAAATAGAAGAACCCGTTTCAACCAAGCAAGTTCAAGCAGGTAGGCCTTAGCGGATTGTGCCAGCATAATTTTTGGCATAATTGAAGCAAAAAAGCATAATTTTTGAAACGAGCACTGCCACGGCATAATTAGCAAATTTTAGCGCTTTTTGGAGCATAAATTCATCAAATTTAGTAATTCTACATATATAAATTAAATTTAGGTAGTATGTTCTTACAATGCGTGTTTTAGCTACGCTAATAGTAGTATTGACTTTGTTGGCGAATTTAGCGATCAGCAGCTACAGGACAGCGTTCTTGCAGACTATTTCCAGGCCAGCGTAATGTTGCAGTACAATAAGCACTGCCTTTGTGTTGACTTGTGTATACTATTCTTATCCATGTTTATTCAAGCAATTATTGGTGCTGAAAGAACTCAGAACTGTCAAAACAAGTTGATTTACTTCGTGGCTTGATACTTTCAACTTTATAGTTCGCTATAGTTTGAGTTAGTTTAAATCAAGAGAGTACAATATTCTTTTGGTTCAGTCAGTATATACAGGTGTGATCGGTAAGTCGTTGAAGGCATTTTACAAACGGTTCAGAGATGCGGACAGCTAATTTGGACAGCTGAGGTCCGAGACAAACTGCCATAAAACACAAATGAATTTACAGCAACAGTTTACCTGAAAAACATCATAATTTGGTGTCGATATTGCGCGCCTATATGTACATAATATACGTCATTTTGTGAGCATAATTTCGGAAATCAGTAGCATAATTTGGGAATTCTAGCATAATTTTGGCATAATTTGGCAAAATTTCGAGCACTGCTAGAAGCATAATATGCCACTTTTAGGAGCACAATCCGCCAAGGCCTACAAGCAGGTTCTTGTTTATGAACTCTCGTTATAGAGGCAACACTACAGTGATGGGCTCCTGACATATACATTCTGTAATCAGTTGTGTTAGGCTTATCATAATACAGTTGTGTATAAATACTGATTTTAAGGACCAAACCCAAATTAACAACTGTATCTCCTTCGCAGAAATTAAGAGCCTAGTTAAGAACCTACTTAGCGTAAATTGCCCATAACTACCCCAAAAGTTTGCCAGACTTCCAAAAATGTAGGTTCTTACACGCGGGTTTTCACTATACTATATGGCTAGCGCGAGCGAGCGGGCAAGATGAATCAAATTCTGCGCTGTAATTGGCTACCCGAGCGGGCAAGATGAAGCTATCTTGCCCGCTCGGGACCACCCGCCGTGTCCCGCAAGAAAAATTTCCCCATATTTAAAATAATTCCTGCTGAATCGCATACTTCTGAAACTTTGAGAGTCGAGTCATCCAGGGAAAAACGGTGCCGCCTAGAGCCTGAGTGCTACTAAGTTCTGAGAGAGATTGGGCCCAAACAATATGAAGAATACAAAAGCAGAAACCCACACAACGTAGAATGATTTTTTGAAGGTGTACTATATTTCGGCTGGCCAAACCAGCCTTCTTCAGCTAAAGAAGGCTGATTTGGCCAGGCGAAATATAGTACACCTTCAAAAAATCATTCTACGTTGTGTGGGTTTCTGCTTTTGTATTCTTCATTTTATATGTGAAGCCGATTAGATTTATGTATGGCCATCCCCTTTAATTTTTTTTTCTCTGTTTAGCGTCGTCCGACCGACCCAGATTTTCGCGTTTTCAAAAAAAAAAAAAAAAGTTACACAGAAGGCAATGAAGGCAATGACACATTATTTCATACAATTGTCTCTTTAATCTGAAACATAAGCAATTTTTTGCCTTACAGAATTTTAGTTTTCCCTGTTCTCGTTTGATTTTAACAACCACGTCGACTTTTTCCTTCCTCCATTGCCGCGTTGTTGACTTTGTAACCACACCTTGTTTTTTCCAGGCTCCACGGATATTATGCTGAGGTACCCGGCCTCGTAGCTCCAGACTCCTGGAAAATCACGTGTAGCGGGAATCGATTTTCCATATCCTCGCGGATCAAATGTTATCACTGTAAATTCATTCTTAAGCCCCTTAAGCTGGGGACCAAAGTCACTTTGCGTTGAGCCGAGCGCTCCTGGTAAACACAGGACAACGTGGTTACTTTGGCCAGCAACTTCGTAGTGAATTTCAACACCATGCACTTGAATTTTTGAAGAAATTGTACTCATGTAGCGCGGTGTTCGTTGCAACTTGTACCTCGCTAAAGACTTTAAATTGACTGCTCTTCGAAGGAAACAAGTTCGTGATACTGCCAGCAGAGAACGAGCGAAAACAGAGGCCATATTGTTTGGCAATAGAATGTTTACAGTCGTTATCAATCACACGCGACCTTTATAGCGCAAAAAAAGCCTAGACAAAACCTAAGTTTTGGTGGACGTCAATCATCTCCGCCTTCTTGCCGACTGTGTGCAAACTTTACCTGAAAGTGAAACCCTGCAGCGGTCCACTCGTAAAAATTATTATTTTACTTTCGATATGTAGGGCTAGCTCACTAACTACATCCTTGAAATCTATAAATGAAAACGTTTGTCGGGTTTTACAACGACCATTCGCATGCATGAATGACCCCGAAATCAAGCAAATCCACACGAAAACAAATTATTTCTGCACGTACTTTTTCTTGGGGCTACGGACTGAACGATACCTATGCTTGTTAAAAAGGGACAAAACAACGAGATCATGATTTACATGACAAGACAGTGATATATACATCAAGATTCGTGTATATACATCTAGATTCATATTTATACATCAAGATTCATATATACGTCAAGATTTGCATATATATATATGCATCAAGATTCGCATAAAAACCACAAGATTCATATATGTATGAATCTTGATGTATAAATATGAATCTATATACACGAATCTTGATGTATATATCACAGTCTTGTCATGTAAACAATGATCTTGTTGTTTTGTCCCTTTTTAACAAGCATAGGGGGTATCGTTCAGTCCGTAACGCCAAGAAAAATACGTGCAGAAATAATTTGTTTTCGTGTAGATTTGCTTAATTTCGGGGTCATTCATGCATGCGAATGGTCGTTGTAAAACCCGACAAACGTTTTCATTTATAGATTTCAAGGATGTAGTTAGTGAGCTAGCCCTACATATCGAAAGTAAAATAATAATTTTTACGAGTGGACCGCTGCAGGGTTTCACTTTCAGGTAAAGTTTGCACACAGTCGGCAAGAAGGCGGAGATGATTGACGTCCACCAAAACTTAGGTTTTGTCTAGGCTTTTTTTGCGCTATAAAGGTCGCGTGTGATTGATAACGACTGTAAACATTCTATTGCCAAACAATATGGCCTCTGTTTTCGCTCGTTCTCTGCTGGCAGTATCACGAACTTGTTTCCTTCGAAGAGCAGTCAATTTAAAGTCTTCAGCGAGGTACAAGTTGCAACGAACACCGCGCTACATGAGTACAATTTCTTCAAAAATCCACGTGAATGGTGTTGAAATTCACTATGAAGTTGCTGGCCAAAGTAACCACGTTGTCCTGTGTTTACCTGGAGCGCTCGGCTCAACGCAAAGTGACTTTGGTCCCCAGCTCAAGGGACTTAAGAATGAATTTACAGTGATAGCATTTGATCCGCGAGGATATGGAAAATCGATTCCCCCTACACGTGATTTTCCAGCTGAGTTTTTTGTACGGGACGCAAACGATGCTGCCGCACTAATGAAAACTCTTGGTAAGGGAAATATGGTACGATTTTTTCTTCCATCCGTCTCAATAAGTTAACATTAATTATAGAAATTTTGTAGGTGATGAAAAAGCTTATACAACTATTCTGGGGACGGGGCAGGGGAGGGGATCCGGATACTGATCGCAAACATTATTAAAATAATGGAACAGTCCATTTTTTATCTGCACACCAACCCTCCCCGCCCCACCCCCCTATGGAGGGCAAGCCATGTTGGAAAATGTCTCAAAGGAGCTGACAAGAAGTGCCAACAACAGAAATCTAGGCTGTGGGAATCTACCCTACGTGGGGGAGGTGCAGATTAAAAAATGGAATGTCTCAATGAAGAACACAAATCCGTCCATGACTCAAACTTTATTTCACGGACAAATTTAAGACACACTGGTTCTAATGACAAAATTTCCATAAAATGCTTTTATCTACAAGGAAAGTTTAAAGATTTCATGCCCAATCAGTCTAAACCGTCAAATAATAATACCCAGAGCAATCAAGAGATGGACTTCTGCAAATACAGTAATACCATGTGGTTTATGTGTCTTCATGTGTAATGCGATTAGAAATTTTGAATGTCTAGTGTCACTGCTTGATAGACAAAAAACTTGGTGTCTATGCTTTCAAATCTCTAGGTCACTCTAAATATTCCCTCCTTGGATGGAGTAGTGGTGGAATAACTGCAATGATACTGGCTGCGGCGCATCCTCAGTGTGTTCATCGCATGGTGGTGTGGGGTGCTAATGCCACTGTTACTGCTGAAGACGTCAAGCTGTATGAAGCTATGAGAGACACATCAAAGTGGAGCCCTAAGATGAGGGAGCCCTTAGAAGGTAAGGCATATTGTTTCTTAAATTTACAAGAACAATGAAAAGGGATCATTCTGGCTTTTATCCTTCAAGGACACCAGTTTTCAATTTCTTCTCAAAACATCAGTACTAAACGTGGAGATATATAAGAGACACTGTATTTACATAACGATTTGTCAGTCGTCATCAAATCATCCATCCATTGTCTGTTATGCTGCTGATTTTGTATAAATCATAAGTTAGTGGTGTTGGTGTAGAGAGAAGCAGCAAACCTTCATAGGTGAGAGAGAGAGAGCAAAGATAGCACAATGGTGAGAATGCTTATGTCTCCCACCACAGATAAATATGTCCAGGAAGCCATTATAATGATATGCATACTCTCTATGATTAGCATCACAAATTGTCCTCATTTGTAAAAAGTCATCAAAACACACATAATTCTGTCATATATGAAGTAATATGAAAATGACTCTTGTGATGAGCATGTGTCTCATTAGTGTGCAATCCTGGACACAAGTGTCCCACCAGTGTGGCACAGGTGTGAATCCTAGAACCTAAGTGGTTGAGGTTTTTGAGTAAAAACGCTTTGTTTAGGGTAAGGGAGAAGTGCCATAGCTAGTAACTGGCGAACAGAAGCATTTGCCTCGGTAATTTGAAATTTATTTATTTATTAATAATTTGCAGATTTCCATAAGAGGCTATGCTTTAAATGAAATAAATCAATGTAAGAGAAGAGTGTTTTCCGACATTGCCTCTTTAAGAACTTTGAACATTGCTGGGATCCCTGTCTTTATGTTGTGCCATCATTGAACAAGATACTTCACTATTGTTGTCTCTCTTCACCCAAGGATGTAAAATGGGTGCCTGTTGAGCCATGTCTATACTATTAAGCTATACTAGACTGGTCCAGTATAGTCCAATATACACTAACGAAACCAATATTGTACAAAGTCGTTTCCAAGTTTCAATTTCTATCATAGAAGTCCAGGTAAAGAACCCCACTTTAGGCTAAATTACTTATCACTGGCCACTGTCCGATTTCTATCCCCTACCAAGACTAAACTGCCTGATAGCCATATCTTTCACAGCAGCACATACCCATATAGCGTATATTTGGGAGAACCCCCCTATCCCCCTGTGATCACTAGGTGCCATAAATGTCTGCAAACACATTTTTCTTAAGATTTTCTGAGTGAAGTATTCAACATTGTCCACTCTATGGAGCTTTCAAGGTTAACCCAGTGCATATGTGGTTACATTTCAGTCCTGTATGGAAAAGAAGGACTCCAAGAAATGAACAGTGGCTGGATAGATGGCATAAGCCAGTACTTTACTGAGCGTGGTGGTGACATTTGTACTAGTGAAGTAAAGAAGATAGAGTGCCCTACCCTGGTGGTGCATGGGCAGAAAGACCCCCTGGTTCCACAGTTTCACCCTGAGTATTTACATGCCAACATCTGTGGTTCAAAGCTTCATATTATGCCAGAGGGGAAACACAATCTTCACCTTCGTTATGCAGACGAATTCAACTTGCTTGTCAGGGCATTTTTGACCCTTAAAGAGGTGAAACAGTTTTGACTAGAGAATAACGGGGCTCACAAAAAGTTCCGTCCGGTCATCCGGAACGTCATACTTTTCATACTTACTTGCCCCACGGGGACGTCGTCTGCCAACGTAATAGCAAAAAGAGAAACATGTCTGAAGGGCAAGGTGGAATTCAAGTTTTTTTCGAGCCCTGGAATAAATCTAAAACAAGAGGAACTGAATCTGGAAATCAAAAAATAGTCCGGCCAGACGTCCATTATTTGCTGGCCCTCTATAGGAACCCCAAGGCCAGCTGCAACGACACTAAATCTAGTTTGAAACATGTCGAGGTAACTTTAACAAAAATAAAAGTTATTTCCCAAAGGAGAAACATTTTCTTGTTTTTTACCCCCAGTTGCTAACCCAGCATTGAATTTCGCGCGGTGGCCGTTATACTCCGGATCGCGCTGTCCGGGCTCGAGCCCTGGCCGGGAGACATTTCGCTGTGTTCTTGGGAAAGACACTTTGCTCTCACAGTGTCTCTCTCCACCCAGGTGTATAAATGGATACCAGCGAATTTAATGTTGGGGGGTAACCTTGCAATGGGCTAGCATCCCATCTAGGGGGGTGTAAAAATACTCCCAGTCGCTTCACGCTACAGGGAACGGGATAAGCTCCGGCTTGATGGGCCACTTGGCTCGTATGTAGACTTAACCTACCTTAATGAATTTCGCATCTTCTTCGTACGGGAAACTATCTTGATGCCGGTCCAACTGTAAACGGAGTAGCTATTTGCCTGTGTACCTTTCTTTTCTACAACTGGCACGCAGTTGTAGACGGGTTGTAATGTTATCGTTGCCTTTTTGTAAAGCATTATTAGCCCAACAAACTCATAGCCCGCAGCACTTTACCTTCCAGTCCTGCAGCAAAAAGTACTGAGCTAAGGAGTATTTGCTACCCCCTTCCCCTTCTCCCGTCACAGGATGGGCTGCTTGTCCACCACAGGTTCCTCTCCATCATTCGGACTAGCCTGTTCCAGGCTTTCAGTCAGCAGCGGAGCAGCCCCGGAGGGGATGGAGCAACGTGGAAACGGCTGAGACAGGCTACATTCGGTCAGGTTGCTCCAACAATTTACCTGTTTCTTGTTATACTCCTAGTCGGAGGAAAGCTCTACAGCGACATATATTCACCTCTTTATTATACTTTACATCGTCCAAAGAAGCATATAAGACAATAAAATTAATCTACCACGATCGGTGGCTAATGTCTGCCTTTTATCTGATGCCTGATGTCTGCCCTTTATCGCTAGCCTACAAAACAGTGGTTTAGCGAGGTACAGCGCGAAGGGACTACGTGTCCGTACAAACGGAAAACTGACGAGAAATAACGCTCAGAAATATCACTTAACCAAAACTATATCTCAGCTAGAGCGATATACCATAACGGCTCTGTTCTTTATAAGAGGTTTTTTCAATGTAAATTTAAACGATAGAAAAGGATTGTTACGACGGTGAAGAATCTGTCGATTTACACTCTTTATTTCAATCCATTTAGAAATCAATGCAAGTGTAAACCTGATCCGCTTGTAGCATTAGGCTAATCTAGGCGAATCAGTTGTCAGCTTACTTGTACCAGGACAGTAAAAGATAAAAGTAAAATGCTAAATTGAAGTTCAATCAGTCTGAAACTCTGTAAACTGTATGCGATTTTTATACGGCATTACCGCCTTAATTTACATTGGTGGGTAGCTGGGTAGCCCATTAAGCTGACCTAGGATTAGTGATAATTTGATTGCAGTTTTGAAACTTTTCGGTGACGTTTTCTGTTTATTGCGGAGCCCCATACTCACAGATTTTACAAAAACTGCAGGAATTCTCGCGCGCTCATTGGCTAATTTTCGTTGTCAATAAGCGATAAACACACATTAAAGTTTATACCTTAGCGCCATAGTACCATATAGTGCCTTAGCGGCAGGCAGCCCCCATAACCATCCCAATAGTGCACTCTGCACTAAAAAGGACGGTGGTGCCCGTCGGAGGATCGCCTAAGAGGTACCAAGACCCTGTTTGTGGGCGTGGCTTGAAATTTTTTTCACCCCTAAGAAGTACTAATTGCATGCAATTCTAAAACAACACATCAACTGACACTGATGTTTTTCGGCTTAATACCCTAAATTATTTAAGCTCCTGCTGTGGACCTTTTGAGGCTGAACACGCTAAAAGGTACCAAATCCCCTTTTATAAGCTCTAAAACTGGTACGACGAGCATCTCCGTCCCTTTTATATTGGAGTCCCCCCCCCCCCCCCGGCCCCGGGTAAGAACCTTGTGGTTTAAGAACCTGCTGGCAGAAATTTGCATTTCAAAACCCAAAAATAGAAGAACCCGTTTCAACCAAGCAAGTTCAAGCAGGTAGGCCTTAGCGGATTGTGCCAGCATAATTTTTGGCATAATTGAAGCAAAAAAGCATAATTTTTGAAACGAGCACTGCCACGGCATAATTAGCAAATTTTAGCGCTTTTTGGAGCATAAATTCATCAAATTTAGTAATTCTACATATATAAATTAAATTTAGGTAGTATGTTCTTACAATGCGTGTTTTAGCTACGCTAATAGTAGTATTGACTTTGTTGGCGAATTTAGCGATCAGCAGCTACAGGACAGCGTTCTTGCAGACTATTTCCAGGCCAGCGTAATGTTGCAGTACAATAAGCACTGCCTTTGTGTTGACTTGTGTATACTATTCTTATCCATGTTTATTCAAGCAATTATTGGTGCTGAAAGAACTCAGAACTGTCAAAACAAGTTGATTTACTTCGTGGCTTGATACTTTCAACTTTATAGTTCGCTATAGTTTGAGTTAGTTTAAATCAAGAGAGTACAATATTCTTTTGGTTCAGTCAGTATATACAGGTGTGATCGGTAAGTCGTTGAAGGCATTTTACAAACGGTTCAGAGATGCGGACAGCTAATTTGGACAGCTGAGGTCCGAGACAAACTGCCATAAAACACAAATGAATTTACAGCAACAGTTTACCTGAAAAACATCATAATTTGGTGTCGATATTGCGCGCCTATATGTACATAATATACGTCATTTTGTGAGCATAATTTCGGAAATCAGTAGCATAATTTGGGAATTCTAGCATAATTTTGGCATAATTTGGCAAAATTTCGAGCACTGCTAGAAGCATAATATGCCACTTTTAGGAGCACAATCCGCCAAGGCCTACAAGCAGGTTCTTGTTTATGAACTCTCGTTATAGAGGCAACACTACAGTGATGGGCTCCTGACATATACATTCTGTAATCAGTTGTGTTAGGCTTATCATAATACAGTTGTGTATAAATACTGATTTTAAGGACCAAACCCAAATTAACAACTGTATCTCCTTCGCAGAAATTAAGAGCCTAGTTAAGAACCTACTTAGCGTAAATTGCCCATAACTACCCCAAAAGTTTGCCAGACTTCCAAAAATGTAGGTTCTTACACGCGGGTTTTCACTATACTATATGGCTAGCGCGAGCGAGCGGGCAAGATGAATCAAATTCTGCGCTGTAATTGGCTACCCGAGCGGGCAAGATGAAGCTATCTTGCCCGCTCGGGACCACCCGCCGTGTCCCGCAAGAAAAATTTCCCCATATTTAAAATAATTCCTGCTGAATCGCATACTTCTGAAACTTTGAGAGTCGAGTCATCCAGGGAAAAACGGTGCCGCCTAGAGCCTGAGTGCTACTAAGTTCTGAGAGAGATTGGGCCCAAACAATATGAAGAATACAAAAGCAGAAACCCACACAACGTAGAATGATTTTTTGAAGGTGTACTATATTTCGGCTGGCCAAACCAGCCTTCTTCAGCTAAAGAAGGCTGATTTGGCCAGGCGAAATATAGTACACCTTCAAAAAATCATTCTACGTTGTGTGGGTTTCTGCTTTTGTATTCTTCATTTTATATGTGAAGCCGATTAGATTTATGTATGGCCATCCCCTTTAATTTTTTTTTCTCTGTTTAGCGTCGTCCGACCGACCCAGATTTTCGCGTTTTCAAAAAAAAAAAAAAAAGTTACACAGAAGGCAATGAAGGCAATGACACATTATTTCATACAATTGTCTCTTTAATCTGAAACATAAGCAATTTTTTGCCTTACAGAATTTTAGTTTTCCCTGTTCTCGTTTGATTTTAACAACCACGTCGACTTTTTCCTTCCTCCATTGCCGCGTTGTTGACTTTGTAACCACACCTTGTTTTTTCCAGGCTCCACGGATATTATGCTGAGGTACCCGGCCTCGTAGCTCCAGACTCCTGGAAAATCACGTGTAGCGGGAATCGATTTTCCATATCCTCGCGGATCAAATGTTATCACTGTAAATTCATTCTTAAGCCCCTTAAGCTGGGGACCAAAGTCACTTTGCGTTGAGCCGAGCGCTCCTGGTAAACACAGGACAACGTGGTTACTTTGGCCAGCAACTTCGTAGTGAATTTCAACACCATGCACTTGAATTTTTGAAGAAATTGTACTCATGTAGCGCGGTGTTCGTTGCAACTTGTACCTCGCTAAAGACTTTAAATTGACTGCTCTTCGAAGGAAACAAGTTCGTGATACTGCCAGCAGAGAACGAGCGAAAACAGAGGCCATATTGTTTGGCAATAGAATGTTTACAGTCGTTATCAATCACACGCGACCTTTATAGCGCAAAAAAAGCCTAGACAAAACCTAAGTTTTGGTGGACGTCAATCATCTCCGCCTTCTTGCCGACTGTGTGCAAACTTTACCTGAAAGTGAAACCCTGCAGCGGTCCACTCGTAAAAATTATTATTTTACTTTCGATATGTAGGGCTAGCTCACTAACTACATCCTTGAAATCTATAAATGAAAACGTTTGTCGGGTTTTACAACGACCATTCGCATGCATGAATGACCCCGAAATTAAGCAAATCTACACGAAAACAAATTATTTCTGCACGTATTTTTCTTGGCGTTACGGACTGAACGATACCCCCTATGCTTGTTAAAAAGGGACAAAACAACAAGATCATTGTTTACATGACAAGACTGTGATATATACATCAAGATTCGTGTATATAGATTCATATTTATACATCAAGATTCATACATATATGAATCTTGTGGTTTTTATGCGAATCTTGATGCATATATATATATGCAAATCTTGACGTATATATGAATCTTGATGTATAAATATGAATCTAGATGTATATACACGAATCTTGATGTATATATCACTGTCTTGTCATGTAAATCATGATCTCGTTGTTTTGTCCCTTTTTAACAAGCATAGGTATCGTTCAGTCCGTAGCCCCAAGAAAAAGTACGTGCAGAAATAATTTGTTTTCGTGTGGATTTGCTTGATTTCGGGGTCATTCATGCATGCGAATGGTCGTTGTAAAACCCGACAAACGTTTTCATTTATAGATTTCAAGGATGTAGTTAGTGAGCTAGCCCTACATATCGAAAGTAAAATAATAATTTTTACGAGTGGACCGCTGCAGGGTTTCACTTTCAGGTAAAGTTTGCACACAGTCGGCAAGAAGGCGGAGATGATTGACGTCCACCAAAACTTAGGTTTTGTCTAGGCTTTTTTTGCGCTATAAAGGTCGCGTGTGATTGATAACGACTGTAAACATTCTATTGCCAAACAATATGGCCTCTGTTTTCGCTCGTTCTCTGCTGGCAGTATCACGAACTTGTTTCCTTCGAAGAGCAGTCAATTTAAAGTCTTCAGCGAGGTACAAGTTGCAACGAACACCGCGCTACATGAGTACAATTTCTTCAAAAATCCACGTGAATGGTGTTGAAATTCACTATGAAGTTGCTGGCCAAAGTAACCACGTTGTCCTGTGTTTACCTGGAGCGCTCGGCTCAACGCAAAGTGACTTTGGTCCCCAGCTCAAGGGACTTAAGAATGAATTTACAGTGATAGCATTTGATCCGCGAGGATATGGAAAATCGATTCCCCCTACACGTGATTTTCCAGCTGAGTTTTTTGTACGGGACGCAAACGATGCTGCCGCACTAATGAAAACTCTTGGTAAGGGAAATATGGTACGATTTTTTCTTCCATCCGTCTCAATAAGTTAACATTAATTATAGAAATTTTGTAGGTGATGAAAAAGCTTATACAACTATTCTGGGGACGGGGCAGGGGAGGGGATCCGGATACTGATCGCAAACATTATTAAAATAATGGAACAGTCCATTTTTTATCTGCACACCAACCCTCCCCGCCCCACCCCCCTATGGAGGGCAAGCCATGTTGGAAAATGTCTCAAAGGAGCTGACAAGAAGTGCCAACAACAGAAATCTAGGCTGTGGGAATCTACCCTACGTGGGGGAGGTGCAGATTAAAAAATGGAATGTCTCAATGAAGAACACAAATCCGTCCATGACTCAAACTTTATTTCACGGACAAATTTAAGACACACTGGTTCTAATGACAAAATTTCCATAAAATGCTTTTATCTACAAGGAAAGTTTAAAGATTTCATGCCCAATCAGTCTAAACCGTCAAATAATAATACCCAGAGCAATCAAGAGATGGACTTCTGCAAATACAGTAATACCATGTGGTTTATGTGTCTTCATGTGTAATGCGATTAGAAATTTTGAATGTCTAGTGTCACTGCTTGATAGACAAAAAACTTGGTGTCTATGCTTTCAAATCTCTAGGTCACTCTAAATATTCCCTCCTTGGATGGAGTAGTGGTGGAATAACTGCAATGATACTGGCTGCGGCGCATCCTCAGTGTGTTCATCGCATGGTGGTGTGGGGTGCTAATGCCACTGTTACTGCTGAAGACGTCAAGCTGTATGAAGCTATGAGAGACACATCAAAGTGGAGCCCTAAGATGAGGGAGCCCTTAGAAGGTAAGGCATATTGTTTCTTAAATTTACAAGAACAATGAAAAGGGATCATTCTGGCTTTTATCCTTCAAGGACACCAGTTTTCAATTTCTTCTCAAAACATCAGTACTAAACGTGGAGATATATAAGAGACACTGTATTTACATAACGATTTGTCAGTCGTCATCAAATCATCCATCCATTGTCTGTTATGCTGCTGATTTTGTATAAATCATAAGTTAGTGGTGTTGGTGTAGAGAGAAGCAGCAAACCTTCATAGGTGAGAGAGAGAGAGCAAAGATAGCACAATGGTGAGAATGCTTATGTCTCCCACCACAGATAAATATGTCCAGGAAGCCATTATAATGATATGCATACTCTCTATGATTAGCATCACAAATTGTCCTCATTTGTAAAAAGTCATCAAAACACACATAATTCTGTCATATATGAAGTAATATGAAAATGACTCTTGTGATGAGCATGTGTCTCATTAGTGTGCAATCCTGGACACAAGTGTCCCACCAGTGTGGCACAGGTGTGAATCCTAGAACCTAAGTGGTTGAGGTTTTTGAGTAAAAACGCTTTGTTTAGGGTAAGGGAGAAGTGCCATAGCTAGTAACTGGCGAACAGAAGCATTTGCCTCGGTAATTTGAAATTTATTTATTTATTAATAATTTGCAGATTTCCATAAGAGGCTATGCTTTAAATGAAATAAATCAATGTAAGAGAAGAGTGTTTTCCGACATTGCCTCTTTAAGAACTTTGAACATTGCTGGGATCCCTGTCTTTATGTTGTGCCATCATTGAACAAGATACTTCACTATTGTTGTCTCTCTTCACCCAAGGATGTAAAATGGGTGCCTGTTGAGCCATGTCTATACTATTAAGCTATACTAGACTGGTCCAGTATAGTCCAATATACACTAACGAAACCAA